TATTATCTGTCAACTTCTTACGGTATTTTGCGCGAGAAGGGGTTCAAAATGTGTATTCACTATAAAACCAACGACTCTAAATAAAATTTTTAATAACTTTAGTTCCTCAGTACACACATGAAGTCCTACTATAGTTTTGCGTTCAGTTCTAAAATGATAACATAGCATATATTTTGTATATTGAATCAGTGTATGGGAAATGATGAAAAGAAAACAAGTCATTTTATCAAAAAACATATGAAGATAATATATGAAAACTTTGATTTTGTGACAAAACGAAATATGCCATCTTTATCTACACCTACGCACATACGGCACACGGTTGTGTATGACAAACAAAAAGAAATATGATTGAATAAATGACAAAAAAGTAGAGCGCCCATATCATCAGAATGAACAAGATTTTTTCGATATATTAAACATCGTACATCACATGTACAGGGAGTAAGTTCTAAGACTTTGATATTCACTCTCTTTGGATCCACCCAGCTAGTATTTCTGCTAGTTTAAATAAGCGAACGTGTATTTTCTCACACGGATGTTCGAATATGGATGCGACTCCTCAAAGACGCCAAGACTTAGGGAATACTAATAGCGATTTAGAGATTTTAACATTAGAAACGAATTATACATGTTTCGTTACTCATCACCAAATATTGACTTGTTTTTTCCATAGACGCCACACACCCACACACACACACACACACACACACACACACACACACCACACACTCACACACACAAACACACACAATAATAAAGCATCTATATATTCATTATAACCTTACTGTGGTTTTACGTCCAAACTATGTTAAATAATGAAGAATATGTAGTATATTTTCTGTTTATTTAATCAGTGTTTCGTAGTGAAAAAGAAAAAAAAAAAACCATTCACTTCATTAGCTTCGATTAGCCGACACTAGATGGTGTAGTCACGGACCACGAGGAGCATTTACAAAGTATCAACAATTTTGCAAAAGAATGAAGCGTTTTCATGTTTCAAGAAATATGCAGCTATAATTGTAATGCATACTGCCTCACCTCCATAGGTGTTGTCATGCCGATAAACAGTCAATTCCAGGAAATCGCATTAAAAAATATCCCTCTACAAGTCAATGATCGCTAATTCTTTGTGTGCACGTGACGTTACACTGTTTTTCTAAACCGGAAGTCCGCCATGTTGGATGATAACAACCAAGATTGGGACACTTCACGTGTGAGTTGCTGTTACGCTCCGTGATATCTTCCAGCTTTAATAGCCTTACTAACTCTAACAATGCCCACTTTGTGTGCAGTATATAATTGTGGTAATAATGCCACGCGTGATAAAGAGAAAGGACTTTACAGAATACCGAAAATAATAAAAAACGGAGAGAAAAGTGATGAAGAACTTTCCAGTGAACGTCGCGCATTATCGTAAAGATCTCATGAGGAAAAAGCACAATACACCTGTGTTAGTGATGACCACGTCATATCTGGTAAGTGATAATTTAGTGTTATTTTTAATTGCTTTTTGCTGTTGTAGGACCGTTGGAGGTTGAACGTGATATGATAACTTTTACTAATTTACAATCGATATTCATGTCTTAATAGAGAAACCAGCAAAGCTATGTGAAAAAAAAACAAAAAAACAGTCCAGATTGGGCACCAACACTAAAGTTAGGGCACAATAATGTGAAAGAATAATACTGAACTTTCGTTGTCAAGAATAGTAAGTCAAAAGAACGATCAGCAAGAAAGCAAAACTTGCTTCACAAGAACAAGAGATAAATTTGAGTGAGCAAGGTAAACACTTCAATAATTCCGTTCGAGTTTTTTGGCAATGTTAACCTGAACTAAGGCAGTATTACAAGTATTGCAAGGACAACATTGCCATCTTTCTCGCTCGCTTGAATGGAGTTTCCTTTGTTCGCTGTGAATGATTAACCCGACCATGAACAAGAATTCTGCCGTCTTTCAATTGCTTAGTCAGAAGATTATTAACTCAGCCAGATATGAAGAAGTTGTAGGCTTCAAGACTTTTGTAGGCCTTCATTGCTTTTCCGTTGCCCACGAGGTTTTGTTCACCAGGTAGTTCACGATAACAGAGTAATACGCCGATAAAGACGGAGATGTAAACACTATTGTTTGAACGAGACCCCATTTTGAATGCTTGAATGTCATGCAACATGGCTACGTCATGTTTTTTAGTCACGTGGTTGCACACGAAGATACTACATGTTTTGTTATCACTTGTTTGAAGAAAATGAAAGATGAAATGGCCTACATAGTTTCCAAAAATAGTAATTAATACACTTGTTGTCATTTATGCTCTACCAATCACACTCCTTGTTACAATCGGCCTAGGTTTTTTCGCCTCATTCATAGAAATACTATATGTTTTACATCGATGTTGTTTGCCAGATGTACAAAAGTGGGACACAACAAGTGTACAGAAATATAATTCCGCAACTGTGCATATATACGCATATATGTATAAATGAATAATATATATATATATATGTATATATATGCGCGCGCGCACACACACACACACAACACACACACACACACACACACACACACACACACAACACACACACACACACACACACACAACACACACATATAATATAGATACACGATAGATAGATATAGATATAGATATATGTATATATATGTATATATGCAGCGACCTCTATTACCGAGGAATGACAAAAATAGGCTCTGCATGCCACCAGTCTGAGACAAAGTCCCCATTCATGTTTACCTTGCGAGGACCAAAACAATGTGACGCGAATTCATTAAGTAGTCCATGTATTACTACACGCTTGTGATAACGATTCTTTGTAATTAACAGTGTCAGTTTTTTTCCGAATTCATGTATTTAATTAATTCTTTTACTTTTAGTATACTTCTTTTGAGTGTTTTGGTAATCATTTACACTATTTTGTACAATAACTTTCTGCACATGCGCGTTTTGTTACCGGAGATTTGACAGACCATGCGACACCATTCGTTGAGAAACGA